ACTCAGTGAGTCTACACACTCATCCAGCATCAATATCCGTCCTCTGAGACACTTTGAGGATGTGACAGCAGCTGTGTCAGAGCTCAGAGATAAACTACAGGACATTCTGAGAGACACATGGACAAACATCTCACTGACAATCACTGAGGTGGATGTTTTACTTTCAGAACCAGAACCAAAGAGCAGAGCTGGGTTTTTGAAATATTTTTGTAAAATCACACTGGATCCAAACACAGCACACACTCAACTGTTGTTATCAGAGGGGAACAGGAAGGTAACAGCAATGAAACAACATCAGTCTTATTCTAGTCATCCAGAGAGATTTACTGACTGGTGGCAGGTTCTGAGTAGAGAGAGTCTAAATAGACGTTGTTACTGGGAGGTGGAGGGGAAAGGAGGAGTTCGTGTAGCCATCGTATACAAAAATATCAGCAGAGCAGGAAATGGAAATGAATGTAAGTTTGGGTGGAACGAAAAATCATGGGCATTAGATGTTTCCCAAGATGGTTACAAATTTGGTCACAACAACATGTGGACCTCCATCTCAGGTCCAGTTACCTCCAGAATAGGAGTGTACCTGGATCACTCAGCAGGTATTCTGTCCTTCCACAGCGTCTCTAAGACCATGACTCTCCTCCATAGAGTCCAGACCACATTCACTCAGCCGCTACATGCTGGACTTTGGGTTTACTGGACTGGAAACTCTGCAGAGATCTGTAAACCAAAATAGATTTTCTGTCCATTTTCACATTGTTGATTTGAGGTTTTGGTTCTTATTTCTCTGCTGTTCTTTCATTTATTATTTATTTTTAACTTTGGTACTCTAACTTTGTTACAGGAGCTGCAAAGTATATCACTTCTGTTTTCTTTCATTCTGATATGACACCGAAATATATCTCCTCATAAAAATCTAAACTTCTCTGGGCTCTTATTATTCTACTTTACTATTTGCATTGATGAATTTGGATATTATAGTTCATTTTTCACTGCAATGCAGAATAAATTATGTTCCTGTTCAAATTCGAAGAGAATGAAATTAATTGAACTTGCTTCAGGTTCCTTTATTCCAAAACAGAAAAGTGAACTAACATCAACTTAAACTGATGCTGTTTTCTTTTAAATCCTTTAGATTTAGATAAAAAATATTTGATGTGCTGTTCTGTTTCTTTGGCTTCAGGATAGAATGCTCACTATTTTGTCTCAAGAAATATTATTACAATTTTGGGGAACTGCATGAAAAAACTCAAACAATAAACCATTTTGGACTAACACTTTAACCAGTTTAATTAAAATTAAAATAGTAATGGCCTTTGTATTGGCCAGCCTGCTGTCCTCATCTCTTTGAAAAGCTTGAAGACATTTAACTCATCCTATAAAAACCGCACTACACCTTCAGTCCAGGAGGTAGCACTATTCCCAGTACCTTTAGATTAATTATTAAAGGTTTATTCCCTTTAAAAACACATTTTTACTTATTTCAACTGATATAGTAGAAAAACAACTTAGAGTTATGTAGTTGATCAATTCTTAGGTTGTACTGGATCTGTAAGAAAATTTTTTATAGTCAATTGCATTTCCTTTTCAAACTGTTGTTTCTGTAAAGCTGAATAATTTATTTTAAGAAAATTGTAAAAACAGATTAGCAGATTAGATATCCACAGAGCAGAAAAGGTTTATATATGTATATGTGTACACTTGTGAACTTCTAGCTGCAAATGTCATGAAAGCTGTACAAAATGATATTTGTTTTGTATACACTCTGTGTATACAAAATGAAAAAATTTGTCTAAGTCTAAGTAGTATTACTTTAAGAGCCCTCTGCTTCCTGGAATCAAAGCCTGATATTCCTCCCATCTCTTCCAACCATCAAACTCTGCTCGAAGCTGGATGGAACCAACTCCTGCTCAGGGTAAATGTTTTTTTTTTGCTGCAGGTTCTCGGCACTGACATGCAATTAGAGAAAAAACCCTGTAGTTGTGTTTCTTGACATATAAAAAGCATATAATGCAATTTTGGGAGACGGTTTGCTCATAAAACCTAAACAAAATTGCATCAATGGTCAAATGTTTAACTATATAAAACTTCTTTATCAGAAGGACAGATACAGTTGAATATTGGGTGAACCTATTCAAATAGATATTTCATTGAACATTGGATTCCACAATTGAGCATAGTGATTCCCCTATTATTTTCATTAATGCTAAATTACTTGTTTCATGGTATAATTATAGGGGTTGGACATTGTGGAAAAGAGAGAAAAAATCATATATGGACTGTTGTAATTCTTTAGAATCGTAAAGTCCACAAAATGTAGTTAAAAGTCTCCAACTGATCCAAAATTCTGCAGTTCTGATGCAAATTAAAAAAAAAAACTTCATATTCCTATTTTAGCTATTCTGCTTCTCTATTCTCCCATCCTGCAACATTTGTTAGTTCAATCTCTGACGTTATGCTCTCTTTGCTTTTTTAAATCATAGTAGCTTTATCTGGTCTGTTCCTGTTTGGCTATGACTTTATCCTGGAGAGAAATATCTGCTGTGCTGCTGCCATCAACACCTCTGGGCTTTTTTCATTTTTTTTTTTTTACTGTGACTGTGCTCTCTTTAATCCTCTGACAAGAAAATTGACATGGTGCTTCTCTACTTAGCTGTCTTTCCTGGACGGAGCCAGCTGTGGAGCTGACCAACTTTTTGTAACTCTGCTTCTTTCTGTATGTCTGCTTCCCTCTCCTTAAACCCCAGTCAGCTTCGACAGATAGCCACTCACTGAGCCTGGTTCTTCTGGAGGTTTCTTTCTGTTCCTCTTCACTGTCGCTGCATGCATGCTTGGTGTGAAGGATTGCTGTTGAATCAATGAATCAATTTATTCAGTTGGTTTTCTTCAGATAGAATACTTTGAACCAATCTGACTATATTGTCTTTGTAAAGTACATTGATATGAAATGTGTTGTGATTTTGCGCTATATACGTTAATCAACTGAATCGAACTGCATACTTATAAATGTAAAAAGAAATAACGCATTATGAGATGTCTAATTGGAAGAGACTGGGAAACAGTGAAAAGCAGATAGTAAGGGTATATCTGGGGTGTGCAGGTGACACAGTGGTTAGTGCGCATGACCCATGTACAGAGGTTTAGTCCTTTACATGGCTGACCCGGGTTTGAATCTGACCTGTGGTCCTTTGCCGCATGTCTCTCCCACTCTTTTATTTTCTCTTTCCTCAATGTGCCACTAGTGCCATAAAAACTCACAGAAAATAATTATTGGGGTATTTAAAACAACACATTCATCATCTTTAATGTAGGTTTGGAGAGCCACCATTGGACCTAACAAGAGATTAGCTTTAAACTATTGTGCAAATTTAATAGGACATGAACAAAACCATTCAATACAATTAGTTGCCCCAAAAATACAATAACAATAAATGTCGGTAGAAATTNGACCAGATATCTTAATAGAAATATAAAAACAGTAATTAGAATTAATATGATGGGATCAATTGTTACACTGACATGGAGCTCATAGAGGTAAAGAATCAGCAGACAAATCACAAAAGAGGCAACCAGACACATTTCAGATGAAATAGATATCATAGTTAGCATGGCTAAATGAAGGAGCTAACGTTTCGGTCTGAGTCGATGCTCACACTAAACCCTGCATCTCTCTGTGAAGTGGAGGAAGAAGTGCACTTAACGGTTTGAATGACCGTTTTTCAAATGTTACAATGTAAAAAAAAAAAATTAAAACTTCAACCTTCCCAGAAGTTTAGTAAAATATGAAATATTTTGATAATTACAACGGACAATAACGTTGTTTTTTAAGCACAGGCTCGCCTTTATTTTCGTCTACTTTACATTATTTACGCAATAAAAAAGTGAAATTTAAAAAAGAACATTGAATAAGAACGTTTAAGACAGAGGATGCATATATACACATTAGAATATACAAAAACACATTTGGGGGGTTATAAGCCTAGCTGGATCCAAATGCAAAATGGAAAAAAAAAGGCTTTTTAAAAGAAAAAAAATAGTATTTTGAAATACTATATATATATATATATATATATATATATATATATATATATATATATATATATATATATATATATATATGTTTTCATTTCTTTCACTCTTTTGAAAGAGGATAAATAACTAAAAATAATTCAAGAAACAATAAAAAATGTGACTACTTCCATTTTATTTCAAATATATAAAAATCAGAAGGAAAAGCATAAACTATCATCAGAATATTCTAGCATATTTAAAATCTGAAATGTTATAACCATAAACATAAGACCACAATACTTTTGAAAAAAATACATACAATCGAGGCAATCTGTAATTTATGTGTTTAGGCTCCTATTTCAAATTTGAGTCTCCTTTTTAAAATTTATTACCAAGTTATATTTAGGTTGGTGTTTTAAATTTAGTTTCTTAAACAACTGGATAAATGGGCCGTTTAATAAACGTAATATTCCATTGAGGGTCACTGTTCCTAAATGTGATGTTTTCCTGTTCAAGGTCCTTATTTATCATCATTGAATAGA